ATAGATAGATAGATGGATAGATAGATAGATAGATAGATAGATAGTGTTATTTTGTCGATCTCGACTTATTTACTTTATTAAAATATAAACACTTTGTGTATTTGCTCTGTAAATGAAGGCTATTGTTTATTATTATTATTATTATTATTATTATTACTATTATTATTATTATTATTATTATTAGAAGTAGTAGAAAATGCTCTTTCTGTTTTATTACCCAGGATTCACTCGACAGGATGGTTCCCAAACCGGGCGTTTGGTGGGAGGCGCGTGACGGGGAACATGAGCGGCACGCGGAGTCCCTGAGAAGCCGGCGGGTTGACCGTCACGGCACGGAGAGTCCAGCGGCTGCACCGGTGATGTTTAACGGCGGTTTGCGGTCCGAGGTTTAGCATCGCGGTGCGTAAAGACCGCGCGCGCGGCTATCATGAGCGTCGCTCTGAAGAGCTGGAGGGCCAATGAAGGACCCAAACACTTGATCATGGTGAGATGAGAGATTTACTCACTATACGGTTGTCACAGTGTCTGTACGGGTGCGTGCATTGAGTCTGAGATGTTGTCATTTAGATTGTTGTGTTTTTATTGTTTTGGGCAGATGTTTTGGATTGCAGTCAATGTCTTCCTGTTCTGGAGAACATTCATGATGTACTTCAGCGGAGCGCAGTATTATTATCTACACAAGATGCTGGGGGTAAGAACTTGAGTTTGTGTTTTCAAGTTTGGGGTGTGTGAGTTTTACAGGTCTGCCGAAAAAAAATAGGAACATCACAGAAATTCTAATGGTTTCCACTATACCATTACAACGTTTAACCATTAAAACCGTTAAAAATGGTTTCCTGTTGTGTGTATTGAGACATATTCCATTAGGATGGGGACATTTTTTGGTCCCCATGAGGAAACAAGCTTATAAATAATAAAGAAGGAAGTTTTTTTTTTAAATCTAAAAATGCAGAAAGTTTTCTGTGAGGGGTAGGGTTGGTGTAGAGCGATAGAAAATACAGTTTACAGTATAAAAACCATTACGCCTTTGGAATCGGAATGTCCCCTTAAAACATGGAAACCCAACCTGTGGTTGTGTGTGTGTGTATGTGTGGTTGTGTGTGTGTGTGTGTGTGTGTGTGAGAGAGAGAGAGAGAGTGTGTGTGTGTGTGTGTGTGGTTGTGTGTACAGATAGTGTTGGGTCCACAACACTCCTGTATGAATCAGGGTAATTGTTGTCACAGGTTATTGTTTAATGTCCTGGAAAGATGCTGCACAGGGACACACAACTTTCTGAAAACAAACCACACTTGTCTTAGCTAAGACTTTTATACATTTATGCCAGAATTGGGCAATTGCAGCAGTTTTACTCTGCCTATGTGTTTGTGAGCTGTAAACCCTCATATGTAGCAGGGCTGTTGTGTTTCTGTATAGAGCTTAACAGACGTGTAACAACTCGCTCACCTCTGTACAGGAAAAAATGATCAAACGCCACTGCAACGCACATACCAACACCCACATATACTAGAGATTTTCTGCTTGATTTCAGGTTTAATTCTTTAGAAATGCCCCCAAAAAAAAAACTTACTTTAGATTAAATATTTTTCAGATAATATTATAATTATTTCCTGAGGCTGTAGTACAATTACAACATGATTTAATTTTTTTATTTTAATTTTCTCACACAATATAAATTAGTTTTAAAATATATATTTCAGGAACGTACAGTGGCTGAGAGAGTGAAGAAACACCTGCAACAAATTAAGAAAACATCTTCATCAGTTTGACAACACACGTGCTGCAAATACCTACAAAAAAGTGATGTGACGTGGCCAAGTATGGTGACCCATACTCGGAATTAGTGCTCTGCATTTACCCATCCAAAGTGCACACACACAGCAGTGAACACACACACACCGTGAACACACACCCGGAGCAGTGGGCAGCCATTTATGCTGCGGCACCCGGGGAGCAGTTGGGGGTTCGGTGCCTTGCTCAAGGGCACCTCAGTCGTGGTATTGAAGGTGGGAGAGAGCGCTGTACATTCACCCCCCCCCCCCCTACAATCCCTGCCGGTACGAGACTCGAACCCACAACCTTTGGGTTATGAGTCCGACTCTCTAACCATTAGGCCACGACTTCCCCTAGTGAAGTCGTGCCACAACGTGCCAAAATACAGAAACGCGCTGCAAATACTCACAACACAAACAGAAGCGTGCTGCAAATGTGCACAGACCACATCGAAAATGTTTAACGGAACCGAAACAAGTGTCTGTGCTACTTGCAGCACGTTTCTGTATTTGGTTTCGTTGTGAGTATTTGCAGCACGTTTCTGTTTTTTGCTGCGCTTTTTTTTTTTTGTATGTATTTGCAGCACATGTGCTGTCAAACTTATGAAGATGTTTTCTTAATTTGCTGGTGTTTTCTATTTGCATGTGTTTAAGGTGCAGAGTGTTGCGCTCTCTCGGCCAATGTAGGAACGGCATCTTTCGCATCATTTTCAGGGTACTCGGCATTAAAAAGTTTGAAAACTGTTGTTCTAACCCCTGTGTATGTGTTTCTTCAGCTGGGCCTCTGCATCAGTCGAGCATCGGCCTCTGTTCTAAACTTTAACTGCAGTCTGGTACTGCTGCCGATGTGCCGATCACTGCTTACCTTCCTCCGAGGATCACAGCGGGTGAGACAGACATCACGTGCACTTTGAGAAATTCTCATATTAATGCATTCATGTCAAATCTGTGCAGTCACAAAAATGCACATTTATTGCATGCTGTTTCAGATGCTGCATATGCAGTTTAAAGATTCAAAGACATGTTGCTGCCATGCTGAATGAGGGTTGTTTTGACTCTGACTCTTTCTCTGTCTGTCAGGTGACGGGTAGATGTGTTCGTCGGCTGCTGGATAAGAGTAAGACGTTTCATGTGGCATGTGGAGTCACTATATGCGTCTTCTCAGGTGAGAAACCTGATCAGATGCCTCAACAGAAACGCTCGATACTGACCATAGTTTGTGTTGTTTCTGCATGATCTGGTCAGCTTATTCTGCCCACATAGCAGGAAGAGACTGTCTGACTGACATAAAGTGACCAGTTTGCTTGTTGTACATGATATTTAGGAGTTTGATAAATGTGAAATTGAAAGCTGTGAGAGCAGAACATGTCAAGTTACATTTATTTCTATAGCACTTTATACAATGCAGATTGTTTCAAACAGCTTCACAGTAATAAATAGGAAAATAACAGAATCAATGATGCAAACTTCTTCAAATAAACAGAACAGAACAGCTATGCTTCAAAATATCTAGTTTGCTTACAATAAAGTGTTTTAAGAAAAAGATTTGATACAAACTTTATCAAATGCAGCAAGTTCTTCCTCAGAAGTGTTATTGTAGCAGCTTGGAAAATGTTTTGAGCATGATTTTTGGTTTGCAAGGCCAAAACAATAAGATGCAGCTTGTCATTTTGAGAAAGATTGTACCATTGTTGGTACATTATGCATCAGACAGTAAATGAACAGACCAAACAGACTCCAGAACAATGAGAGAGACCACGCAGACAGACAGCAGATTACACTCACTTCATGGGAGAGGAAGAACAGATTACTTCGGTCGAGTCACTAGTCTGTCTGAAAGCACTCTTTTTGTGTATTTATGCATGTATGTCACAGGGTTATTATAGTAAAATAAAACAATTAAAAAATTTATTAAAATTAAAATAACTAAAATGAAAACTGACATAAAAATTAATCATTAAATAATTAATTTAATTAAAAGCATTATCTGTGGATAATTTTTGCAATGGTGCATATGCTGCACCAGAATTCTCATCGCATATGCTGAGGTGCATAAGCTCAGACCAATGAGGCCTATGATCAATCAGTACTAAAAAGAAATATAAAGTCTATGCTAATTGAGAGGAAACAAGTTGATAAAAAATGAAATCCAATATTTGGTAATAATATAGCATAATGAGAGATTTACAAGCTATTTTTGTAGGCCAGTGATTTCTGACCGGGAACGCCACAAGTGTAACAATGTGGGGAAAAAAGGCAAAAATGTACAAACATTATCCAAGTTTTTCGGGAAGTTGTCACACCCTGTGTGAGCAAAGGCGTTAAGTTTTAGTGCAGTGCAATAACATTAACTAGCATTTTCAGGAAAAAGAAAATCCTCTCTGGGTCAAAAGACCATAACAAAAAAAAAGACCAGAACACAACATTAAAGCTAATTCAAAAGTATATACAGTGCTGCTTGAAAGTTTGTGAACCCTTTAGAATTGTCTATATTTCTGCATAAATATAACCCAAAAAATCATCAGATTTTCATGCAAGTCCTGAAAGTTGACAAAGAGAACCCAATCAAACAAATTAGATAAAAATATATACTTTGTCATTTATTTATTCAGGAAAATGATCCAATATTACATATCTGTGAGCGGCAAAAGTATGTGAATCTCTAGGATGAGCTGTTAATTTGAAGGTGAAATTAGAGTCCATCTGTTCAGAGGTGTTTTTAATCAGTGAGATGACTATCAGGTGTCAGTGTGTGCCCTGATTTATTTAAAGAACAGGGATCTATCAAAGTTTGGTCATGTTTGTGGAAGTGTATCATGGCACAAACAAATGAGATCTCTGAGGACCTCACAAAAAGAGTTGATGTTGCTCATCAGGCTACGGATCATTTTTCTCAATAAATAAATGACAAAGTATATATTTTTGTCTCCTTTGTTTGATTGGATTCTCTTTGTCTATTTTCAGGATTTGTGTGAAAATCTAATTATGTTTTGGGTTATATTTATGCAGAAATATAGAAAATTCTAAAGGGTTCACAAACTTTCAAGCAGCACTGTATAAAATCTATAACAGTATCTCAGCGATATGAAAATAACACTGGTATGTTGCTGTCTGAGAGTTTGACCTGGTAAATAACTTCGACTAGTGTTCGTCTAGTGATAGGCTAGACAGTTTTGCCAGTAGACAGGTGTGTGCGTGTGCGTGTGCGAAGGGTTCACAAACTTTCAAGCAGCACTGTATAAAATCTATAACAGTATCTCAGCGATATGAAAATAACACTGGTATGTTGCTATCTGAGAGTTTGTCCTGGTAAATAACTTCGACTAGTGTTCGTCTAGTGACAGGCTAGACAGTTTTGCCAGTCGACAGGTGTGTGTGTGTGTGTGTGTGTGTCTGTTTAGAACACAGGAATATCCAGAGGGATTCCCAGCTGGTTTTATCTTGTGTCTGCGAATCCCCCACATTTCCTGTCTCAGTGCATTGTGGTCTTGTTCTAATTACAGAGTTCTGAGGCATCCTGTTACCATGACAACTGCAACACAAGCTACAACACACACACACACAAAGAGAGCTGCTGAATAGACAAATTGTCTTCCACACATACTTTACGTATGCTGTCATTCCATGTGTGTGTTTTGTCTGAGTTGATGATGTTTATGTGTTTGTTCGTGTATATGTCTGCAGTGGTTCATGTGAGCGCTCACCTCGTGAACATGGTCAGTTTCTCTGTGAGATATTCAGAGGATTTCCCTGCACTCAATGTCGCTCAGTATCGAGGACAGGTATCACAGATATTTACATGAATTTTCTGTGTTTGGAATAATAATTTTTTTTTAATGTTTTTGCAAGAGCGTAAGGTTTGATTTTGACATTGGTGGGGACATAACGGCAGACGACAGACATTTAATTGTTTGATTAAAATTATTGCTAGGGACAATGTAGTAGTCGCTGGATATTGGTAGGGACATGTCATAGCATCTCTACTAAATTTGACACCCTTGAAAATCATAACAAGCGATGTCTGACTAGAAACTAGAGTTCTCTCTTTAAATATGAAGAGGTCAGGACAGGTATCACATATATTTACATGAATTTTCTGTGTTTGGAATAATAATTTTTTTTTAATGTTTTTGCAAGAGCATAAGGTTTGATTTTGACATTGGTGGGGACATAACGGCAGACGACAGACATTTCATTGTTTGATTAAAATTATTGCTAGGGACAATGTAGTAGTCGCTGGATATTGGTAGGGACATGTCATAGCATCTCTACTAAATTTGACACCCTTGAAAATCATAACAAGCGATGTCTGACTAGAAACTAGAGTTCTCTCTTTAAATATGAAGAGGTCAAACAACAGATAAATGAGTTAATTCAAATTTCACAAAAAGCTTATGGAAGTAATTATAATATAAGTCAGACACTGAAGTGAATTGCTGTTTTTGTCACTCTTTTATGGTCTTCTGTGATTAATTTTCTTAAAGGGTCATGATACCCCAGACTACTTTTTCAGAGATTTTAGCAGAGGTGTTTGTGTTGCACATCATAGAAGACCATGTTAGCATCCGTTAATTTTAATTGTTGGAGAAAACGGGTTAATTTTAAGATTTTTTGCGCTATTTTCATCTTCCGGGTTTAAAATCTACATCGTGTTGACGTCACAATTTGTGACGTGGCAAAGGACTAGTGCATCGATGACGTGTCGGTGTCTATTAGATTATTCATGAGACTGCGTGTTCTTATCCTATGAGAACTGTCTGAAACCGAAGTTGTTTGTGTTGTCTGTCTTCCCTCTTCCCCCTCCGCTCTGCAGCGCACCACGCCCACTTTTTTTTTAGCGTTTTTTAAAACTGTGGTGAGAACTAACCAGTGCTGAAACGGGGTTTCATGATTCTTTAAGAGATTTGTATTTGTGCATACTTTCTTTGTTTTTTCTTTGTTTTATTTTTATAACAGTACTGCCTTAATGGTTTGATGTTTTGTACTGTTTAATAAAATAAAAAAAAAGAAATCAGAAAAAAGATTTGCGATACACACTCCGGAGTCCCAATCAGAATCAAATGATTCACGAACCTGCACCGAAGTCTCGATCTGAATCAAATGATTCACGATCCACGCTTCGAAATCCTGATCTAAATCAAATGATTCATGATCCGTGCTCAGAAGTGCCGATCTGAATATTGATTCGAGAACCATAATTTCGGATCGGGACATCGGAGCGCAGATTGCAGATCATTCAATTTGCGAAATGATTCGCCAACCAGCTCCGAAGTTCTGATCTGAATCAAATGACCCGAACCGAAGTACCAATCTGAATCAAATAATTATCGATTCTCGTTCCGAAGTCCCGATCTGATTCAAATGATTCGTGAACCCGCATCGAAATCCCGATCTAAATGAAACGATTCACAATTCGTGCTCCAAAGTATCCATCGTGCTCCAAAGGATTCACGATCCACGCTTCGAAATCCTGATCTAAATCAAATGATTCATGATCCGTGCTCAGAAGTGCCGATCTGAATATTGAATCGAGAACCATCATTTCAGATCGGGACTTCGAAGCGCAGATGGTGAGTATTTCAATTCGCAAAATGATTCGCGAACCTGTTCCGAAGCATAGACTGTCCAAAGTCCCGATCTAAATCAAATGATTTGCAATATGCAATTTGAAGTCCCGATCTGAATCAAATGATTCGCGATACGCGAACCGATTGGAGCGCTTCTAAACAGTGAATCATTTTGCGGCGCATTGTTTTAACTGATTCGGAGTTTCGAAAAGCTCAGTTTCACCCATCACTATACATGCTTTTTAAAATCAGTACAAGCCATATCCAAATACGAAAATTAATGGCTCTTTTGATCTGGTTTTTGCTAGTGAATTGAACTGAATGATTGAAGTCACAAATTTTTATCAATCGGGAGCAGTTCCAGCATATATGACTTACTCAATTGATTCGATTTGTCTGTTCCTCCGCTAAACATGTTCAGCCATGTTTACACGACACAGTCAGTACTGATACTGGCTTAGCTCACTAGTTTTATGACATTAACTGAAATAAGTGAAAAAAAGTATGATGTCTACAGATCGAATTACACACAGTTGTGCTGTGTAATATTTAAAACTGTGGAAATATGTTTTTATCTCTTTAGGATCCCAGAATTCTCATCATAAGCACAGGTGACTCACATTTCTAAATCTCCCTTCTTTACTTCTACATCAGTGTGTTGTGTTTAATATAATGAAACTGAACTTATGATATAGGATGATTAACTGAAAAGCCTTTGGACAGAGTCTTCTAACTTTGTAAAATGTGTCTCCTTTTATTTTGTGTTTAAGCGAGATTGTTAGCTGAAGTGTTTAAATATCTCTTTCAAGTTATTTCACACAACTTAATTTCTAAAAATAATTTTATTCATATTTTGAATTGCTTATATTTTAATTTTTCATTTTAACTGTAGTAATATGTAATTTTGTCATTTTTATTATTACTATTATTTTTAATATTATTATTTATGTTTAATTTGACCTTGCTTGAGAACTCATGATTTTTTTGGCTCTTTTCTTAGTTCCTGGAGTTACTGGCGTTCTGTTGGTGCTGGTGTTGTTTCTGATGTTTACAGCGTCGTCTTATTGTATTAGGTGAGAACCTGTAACCTTTTAACTGTTATTTGACCTGCCTGTGACCCTAGTCTCCTCTCCCTAGACTTTATACACACACACACACACACACACTTGACTTGTAATTACCGAGACTATTACCCGGAGGGGTTCTTTCCCTCTGATTGATCTGGGGCCGATGGGCTTCTCCTCTCCATTGTCCTGCTATAATTGAGGTGCTTTAGTTCACTTTAGGACACTTCAAGAGCGTCTCGTTCAATCTAAGAGTCCTGAACGCTGTGCTGCATGTTCTTTTATCTCGCTCTCCTTTTTATTTGAGTGCAATTGTGTGTATTTTTCTCAGAGTCTCAAGCTACGAGATTTTCTGGTACACTCACAACCTCTTCATCGTGTTCTACATTATTCTGATGCTCCACGTAGCAGGGTGAGTTTATCAGTGCATTTCCCTCACACGCATACAAACAAGACTGTGAAAATATTGTCAATAAATTTGGGGGGGGGGAAATCAAACTTGAATACTTAAATAGTATGTGAAATTAGAATTGGTGTGTCCCCAAATCATTAAATATGAACTGAAAATAGTATGTAAGAGTTGCACTGATGGCATGCTATTTCTATACTTGATGCATACTTTATTACCCATAATCCCTTACATTATGGAAGAAAGGTTTTTTTATGTCTTAGATTTGCAAATGTCAAACAAAAAATATTAATTAGTGTGATTTTTGTAAAATTAATTTTTGAATGAAATTATGAATTTAAAAAATTTTTTTTTTGTTTTTCCCCCTTTAAATAAACAGGGTTTCTGCAGGTCTTAAAAAGCAGACGTATCTAAAAATTAATATCTTCCTCAGTAATTTTTTCTTGTCTTTCAATATACATCAAGATACATTTACTTAAGATGCAAAATTAAGGTGTGAAGTCTTCTAAAAAATATGGGCCTTGAAAGCTTGTTTTCCTATTGAATTGAGTTGATTTTCCTAAGTCTGTGATGAAAAGGTACAGTAAAAGTTTTCATATTTCTAGGGTTACATTTACCATTATAAAAGTAGAAGTGTGCAAATTGGGACCTTTATGCTTTATGCGATAAGATTGATGCCTCTCTGTTCAATAGGGGAGCTTTAAAGTATCAGTCAAACGTGGAGGCCCGCCCACCCGGCTGCACACACAACAATCTCAGTTCATGGACCAATCACAAAGCAGCAGGAGAGAAGGGGGCGGAGTTTTCAGGTGCACCACAAACAGTTTGTCAAGAAGAGGCTCATTTTCAACCCCATTTTCCTCAGGTCTGTCTGTCTCTAAATGATGCAGTAGTTGATTCTTTCACGTTGTTGTTTATATAGTTTTGTATGTACATCTGTATGTATATGATTATCAGTCGTTGTGTGTGTGTTTTAGACGTGGTTGTGGGTCTCAGCTCCTCTCTGCCTGTACTGTGCCGAGTGGTTGTATCGTTTCATAAGAAGCAGCACTGCTCCTGTTACCATAGTTTCTGTCGTTAGTGATCCATGTGATGTGGTAGAATTGCGCATGCTGATGAGCGGCTTTAAGCCCCGCCCTGGACAGGTGAGCCCCGCCTCCGCACGGTTACAATAAAGTTTGTTTTCAAATTTTTAAATGAAAGACTTCAGTCTGCAACACTCCTCTTCAAACGTTTGGGGTCTGTAAGATTTTTTTTTTGAAAGAAATTGATACTTATATTCAGCAAGGATGCATTAAATTAAAAGTGATAGTAAAGGCATTTATAATGTTACAAAAGATCTCTATTTCAAATAAACGCTGTTCTTTTGAACTTTCTATTCACCAAAGAATCCCGAGTGAAAAAATAAAATGTATCAGAGTTTCCACAAAAGTATGAAACAGCACAGCTGTTTTCAACACTGATAATAATCAGAAATGTTTCTTCAGCAGCAAATCAGAATATTAGAATGATTTCTGAAGGATCATGTGACACTGAAGACTTGAGTAATGATGCTGAAAATTCAGCTTTGATCACAGAAATAAATAGCATTTTACAATATATTCACATAGAAATCTGTGATTTTAAACGGTAATAATATTTAACTTTTATACTGTTTTTACTGTATTTTTGATCAAATAAATACAGATTCAGTGAGCAGAGGAGACGTTTTTCAAAAACATATGTATAAGGCCCATTTAATGTAAATGTTAGTATATATATTATGTAAATATGCATATTTAATGTCATGTCTAAAATGTGTTTTTGTGATGTTTTCTCTAGTACATCGTGCTGAACTGCCCGAGTGTGTCGTCATTTGAAAACCATCCCTTTACTCTTACCACAGTGAGTCCGTTTGTGTGTATTACTGCATTCAAGTCATGATGGTACTCATGAGATAAAAGCACATGAACACCACTGCAATGTCATAATCACCAGTGGGAAACTCAGGAATTTATTTAGGCGCCAACTTGAGTGCGTCAATGATAGAATGATGGCTAATTGGTATTGCTCATAAACACATTTTAATTGCACGTTGACATGTTTTTATCTAAAGTGACTAGCAAATTATGGATACAAAAACAATTACTAATGTTATTATTCTGACTCATTTCGAACTCGCATCATATCATAGGTTATGATTTCCAAATGCACAAGCAGGACCTGACAGCAGCATATGAACATGTGCTTCTTCTTAAACAGTGCTGAAGGCATTTTCAATGATGTAATGCTGTTGAAGATTATTATTGGATCAAATTGCACTCTCTTTCAAACAAAACATTCCATGATGGTCTATGTAAATGTTTCCATTAAAAAGCATTTTTGAAACATGCAATAAACTTCTCCACACTTATACACTTAATACGTTAGCATTCTCTGCCAAGTAAAAATTTTTTACCCACTCATACACTTTGCTTGGAGTCTTTCTGCCCGCAGGGGTCTGTTTCCTTTAATGCATGACTGTACCTGATCCTCACACTCAATCCCTGCTCTCTGTGTGTGTTTGACTGTGTTCCTCAGTGTCCAACAGGGAAGAATGAAACATTTGGTGTTCATCTCAGAGTGCTGGGAGACTGGACCTGTGCGTACACACACACACACACACACACACACACACACACACACGCATAATAAATAAAAGATGCTGTGATCTATATTATCTAGTTCAAATGTTTCTGTCAGAATGTGTGAAGTTTGGATTAAAACACACTCTTACACACACATTTTTTTTGGCTCAGTCCTGTGTCAAGACACTTTCCATTATCATGCTTTACAGATACTAGTTCCTGGAAGAAAAACATACTTAACAAAAGAAATAACACATACCAGTGCAAATGCACATGGGGGATAAAACAGGCAAAAAATCCCACCAATTTACAATAAAGGACTTATCCATATCTAGAGACCAAAATGAGACCATAAGCATGTGTTAAACAACATAGCAGTGCACTAACATCCATCTAAAATACTCTGCACAGCACTGTCTTAAAAACCACCCAGAACAAATTAAAAACTACTTAGCAATGCTCTAACAACCGCCGAGAAATCCTTAGCCACATTCTGTAGCATATGGAAGCCCGCTTCTGCCACTGAATGAAAAATAAAAAAGGTAATTGCTTTTTATCTCACAAATCTGACTTTTTTTTTTTTCGCCATTTCGAGTTATAGGTCAGAATTACGTGTTACAATGTCAGAAATGTGAGTTATAAACTCACAATTGCAAGCAAAAAGTGAGAATTGTAAGATGTAAACTCGCAATTGCGGGAAAAAAGAAATGCGAGATACAATTCTCACTTTACTCTTGCAATTGCGAGTTTGTAAAATGTAAACACAATTACGAGAAATAGTCAAAATTGTGAGATTAAAAAGTCACAATTACCGTTTCTATTTTTCTAACATGCTAAAAACATTTAAAATGCCTTAGCAACCACATAGCAATGTGCTAACAGTCACCCAGAACACCACATTTTCTGAAATATATTTGATATTGTTTTTATTTGTACATATATTGTTGATTTTCTTTTGTCTATGTTATTCCTCAGCGAGATTTTCTCAGCTGCTGCTTCAAAAGTCGAACAGCTCTGAGATCCTTCCCATGATGCAACAGAGGAGATACCCCACGTAAGTCTGCTGCGCTGTGGGAACAGTGTCAGCGGCGTTGATGAAAGTCATGATCCCTCAGTATACTAGGAGGTGAAATGTCACGACCCTCTGTCTGCGTCATTTCCTGGGAAGACAGAACAGTTTTCCAGGATTGTGTGGGCGGGGTGTCAGGTGACAGGCTTTAACAAGCCTTGCTGTCGACATCATTTCCTCACATAAAAGTGTTTTTACAGTGGATCAGTGAGTGTACAGTGGGAACGACTGCACATCCTCATCCTGTGTGTGTGTGTGTGCTTGTTTGTTTGTGTGCGTTTCTTTTCTGCTGTCGTGTGCAAGTGTGTGTTTGCTTGCTTCCTTATGTGACTGTCTCGTTTTATCAGTGGAAAACCGACAGTGGCTGTTGCAGCGAATAGCATTTTCTGATTGGTGGGGTGGTTGTCAGGTCTGTTTGTAATAGCATACTACTTGTACTAATATTTCAGTATGTATACTGTGCATAATATGCTCTTCATGTAATACCCAAATGACTTGCTACATTTAACAAGATATGCAGTGTGCAACTATAGCACAGTGCACAGAATACAGTATCCCATAATGCAATGCAAAAATATTTTTTTACTTGTGATTTGATTGGCCCACAAAGACAATTTACATAAAAGTAGATTTAGAATGCAAAATAACCATATATCATTTCACATGCTTCAAAAAAATAGTATATACCCAGGTAACCGGGAACATTCTCAGAACATTCGGGCAAGTTATGTATTAACATTTTACAGTAACATTAACATAGCATTTTTATTAAAGTTATTTTGTCTTTAATAATGTTCTCAAAACATTATTTATACATTGTTCATGGAATGTTATTTCTGAAACGGTTCAGTTGAACGTTCGTGTAACATTTTGTAAATGTTGCTACTTGTTTTGGTATGTACAGAGAGTATTCCAAAGTAACTTTCCCATAATGTTTGCAAAAATGATCAAATAGAATGTTCCCTTAACATTTGCATAAACAAGATAAAACTGCACATTTTGAATTTTCCAAATATAATGTTTTCATAGCTTAATGGGAAAGTTAGCAAAATGTTCTTAGAACATACTTTTGTAAGCTCAATACAGTACAGTATGCAGGAATCAGTATGCTAGTATTCCATTAGTTATATTTGGAATGGAATTCTAATTCATTGCATACTGCAGTAGGTAAGTAGAATGTATTCCATGCATACAGAAATTTCACACACAGTGCACAGTTTGTCATACTGCAGAAATAACATGAGTAGTATGGAAGTATTATGGAAATGGATATTCTGTCCACATGCATCTTCTCTAATCTCATTGGTTCTTCTGCTTTCTTGTCCCGCCCCAGAGTGCATGTGGATGGTCCATTTGGCAGCCCGTCAGAGGAGGTGTTTAATTACGAGGTCAGCCTGTGTGTGGCGGGAGGGATCGGAGTCACGCCGTTCGCTTGTGTTTTACAAGCATTATTGTGAGTGCAACCTGTCATTCACTTTACTGTAACATCAGATCATTCTTAAACTCTCTGTGTCCCTGTGTTCTAAATGGAACACTAGTGTGCTGCAAACTACACAGTACACACTGTATATTGAATACTGCATTTCTTTGCAGTTCAGATGGTGGTCGTAGGTTTGATTCCAGTAATAGATCATCCCGGGATCTATTTGCACAGAAAATATTATGCACTTTATACATACTATGTGCTAAAAATAGTAAAATGTGTAAATCCACAGTAAAGTGTCTGAAGGTGTTGTGTGTGTTGCAGTGATGACTGGCGTCAGTATAAGTTGAGGAGGCTGTATTTCGTTTGGGTTTGCAGGGACCTTCAGTCTTTCTATTGGTTTGCTGATCTGCTGTGTGGCCTTCGTGAGAGGGTAAAACACACACATACACACACACACTGGTAGTCCTATCATTATGGGTTCATTCCATAGGCGTAATGGATTTTATTCTGTACAAACTGTATTTTCTATCCCCTCACCCAAACCCTACCTCTAAACCTACCCCTCACACAAAACTACAGGCATTTTTAGATTCTCAGAACACTTCAGTCTGTATGATTTAAAAACTTGGACCAAAAAAAGGTCGAAATTTGCTGGTGGGGACATTTGGTCACCATAAGTGAATACCTATACACACACAGTGGCTCTGAAAACGTACACTTAACCCTTAAACTCACACTTACCCCTGTAAATCCTGAAATGTGAAATAATAGTCCAAACAATATTTTGCATATGTGTTTTCTTCTTTTAGTTGATAAATCAGGGTTTTTATTCAGAGGCCCAAACTGAACAAGAATATGCAATTTAGTGCAGATGCTGATATTTATATGACCAAAAATTAAGATGAAATTCTGATGCTTATAATGTAAATCTGTGAAATATTTATAACATTATAGCAGATACTTACGTAAAATTATGTAAATATTTCTATATCTCCAATAATATGTCTTAGCAAGATGATATTTAAATGCTTAGTTTGATGATCAAAACATAATGCAATGCAATGATGATAGAGAGATGAACAAACATTCCTCAAATGCCTGATGATCATATTTGAGACTTACATTTGAACATGATTTTTTTTTTAAATATTGTCTGAATAACCAAGTAAAGCTAAGTTTCTTCAGTTCAGCAAGTGTTTATCTTGAAATATTACTAACAATATAAAAGTTGTTCTTATATTTATTTTATAAAAATCACTAAAGATTTCACAGCAAAAAGCAAGTGAAGCACAAGCTGAAGGTGGATGTTTGTACGATTATACTAAAAGACCCTTAACTTGATTAAAAAAGTGTGTGTGCAACAGGTTTTTCAGCAAAGAATTGATCATGTTGATCATTTAGAGACCTTTTGTGTATCAAATAAGATACAGAAGGCTTTATCGGATTAAAAATGCATGAATGTAACAGAAAAATAATATATACAAAATATAAACACGTTATGCAGTATGCATGAAATATTAAACATCCTCTTGTAATATATTGTCTTCTCTCTGTAGCTGTGGCGGGACAATCGGCCAGATTATCTGAATGTTCAGCTCTACCTCAGTAACACTCGGGGATTACAGGTGTGTGTGCTTATATCTCATTTTATTACTTATTTAATATTAATTTATAACTTGAGTTTTGTAGATGCAAGCATTGTTCTTTTGTTTACAGAAAATGTAAACATCTAGTTCATTATTTTACAATAAAATATGCATATATCAGTTGTCATACTGAAGTAATTTCTTTCATTGTGTGTTTTGAAGAGCATCGGTGAGGAACGTTACCGTTTTTTGAGCTCCAGGCTTCGGATTGGTCGGCCAAAATGGAAGCTCCTTTTCCAGGAAATAGGGAGAGCCAATCAGCTGTGAGTATGATGAATGCATCCATTATTGGCTGAAATAATGTAGTTATGCAGGCCATTTTAATGATTGCAGTAATCAAAAATGATGATGTGTGTGTTTGTCCTGCAGTAAAAGAGTGGGGGTTTTCTGCTGTGGACCCAAAGGGATCTCTAAAGCGTTACACACGCTATGCAATTCAAACCCACACACAGGAACTGCATTTGAGTACAACAAAGAGACCTTCATCTGAGGGATGCAAGCAAACCCATCGTTTAATGCCAAATGAAAAGCCATTAGAGTCTCTGACACTGAGGAATGAAGACAGGAGAAGACAAATGTGGATGAAGATGTCTGGAATTCATGCACCACATCCTCGTCTAAAAATGAATCCTTGGACAAAGAGATGGAGAGCCGGTAAACAGTGTAATGAGATGGAAAACTTGCACAATTACGTTCTTATTCAGGGAATATTTGTGATTCTGCATGTAGTTTGTCTACATGAACCTGCACAACGCTTGATAGACCCTTAAATGAATAGTTCACCCAAAAATGAAAAATTGCTGAAAATGTACTCATTCTCAGGCCATCCAAGATGTAGATGATTTTGTTTCTTCATTGGAACAGATTTGGAGAAATGTATCATTGTGTCACTTGCTCAGCAGTGGATGCTCTGCAGTGAATGGGTGCCGTGAGAATGAGAGTCCAAACAGCTGATA